CGGAACGCCGTAAAGCGGGGCCCTCCTGTACTTGCAACATCTGCCACATTACTCCCCTATCCACTCTATCATATGCCTTTTCTAAATCCATAAATGCAATAAAAACTTCCCTACCTTTATCTAAATACTGTTCACATATATGCTTCAGTGTAAACACTTGATCTACACATCCCCTATCTACTCTAAAACCTCCTTGCTCATCCGCAATCCTACATTGTCTTACCTCTAATTCTTTCAATTATAACCCTACCGTACACTTTTTCCTGGTATACTCAGTAAACTTATTCCTCTATAATTTTCACAATCTCTTTTATCCCCCTTCCCTTTGTATAAAGGGACTATACATGCTCTCTGCCAATCTCTAGGTATCTTCCCCTCTTTCATACATTTATTAAACGAAAATACCAACCACTCCAACACTATATTCCCCCCCCCCACTGCTTTTAACATTTCTGTCATGATCCCGTCAGTTCCAGCTGCTTTACCCCCTTTCATTCTACGTAATGCCTCATGCACCTCCCCCACACTCACATCCTTTTCTTCTTCACTCCTAAAAGATGGTATACCTCCCTATCCAGTGCATGAAATTACCGCCTCCCTTTCTTCGTTGACATTTAAAAGTTCCTCAAAATATTCTCGCCATCTACCCAAAACCTCCCTCTCCCTCTTCCCCATGGAGATAAGAGGAAATAAAAAAGAACAAGAACTAGAAAGAAAATAGCAGAAAACCCAGAGGGGTGCGTGTGTGTATATATATGCTTGTACATGTATGTCCAAGCTTGGGGCTTGGACTTCCAGCAGGCGTGCATGAGCGTGTTCGATAGGAGTGAATGGAGACGAATGGTATTTGGGACTTGACGTTCTGTTGGAGTGTGAGCAGGGTAATATTTAGTGAAGGGATTCAGGGAAACCTGTTATTTTTATATAGCCGGACTCGAGTCCTGGAAATGGGAAGTACAATGCCTGCACTCTAAAGGAGGGGTTTTGGGATATTAGCAGTTTGGAGGGATATGTTGTGTATCTTTATACATATATGCTTCTAAACTGTTGTGTTCTGAGCACCTCTGCAAAAACAGTGATTATGTGTGAGTGAGGTTAAAGTGTTGAATGATGATGAAAGTATTTTCTTTCTTTTTGGGTCACCCTGCCTCGGTGGGAGACGGCCGACTTGTTGAAAAAAAAAAATGTATGTGTAGTGTAACCTAAGTTTAAGTAGAAGTAGCAAGACGTACCTGAAATCTTGCATGTTTATGAGACAGAAAAAAGGACACCAGCAATCCTACCATCATGTAAAACAATTACAGGCTTTCGTTTTACACTCACTTGGCAGGACGATAGTACCTCCCTGGGCGGTTGCTGTCTACCACCCTACTACCTAGGACTCAGTAAACTTATTCCCCTATAATTTTTAGTCTCTTTTGTCCCCCTTCCCTTTATATAAAGGAATTATACATGCTCTCTGCCAATCCCTAGGTATCTTTCCCTCTTTCATACATTTATTAAACAAAAATACCATCCACTCCAACACTATATCTCCCCCTGCTTTTAACATTTCTGTCATGATCCCATCAGAATTAAATATTTTAATTATTTCCATTAAAGATGGAAAGCATGAAAAGTGAAATATTAAATAGATTTGTTTCCTTTGTTCTTGTTTGACTTTGGTTTCTGTAAGCCTAGTGCAGTGACAGGGTTTTGCTTTGTACTTTCAAGGCTTTGCCTTGCTTGTTTTACTTTTTTTTTCAGACTTTATTATATATACAAATCTCTGTCATTCAGTTTCTCTGTTTTGTTTTTTGACTGCATTGTATGTTTATCAACTCGTTAATCTTCTATGTCTTGTGTCTGATCTTCATATAACTTTTGCCTCATCTTGTACTCTAGCTTTGTTGTCCTGAACTCACTCCTGTATACTTCATCACTGAACTTCTTTTCCGGGCATCTTCTTTGATTAATTCAGTCAGGAAAAGCTTCATTGCATATTTCTGCACTTTCTCCAATTTCTTAACATGCTTCCTCATGTGTGTGTTCCATGTTGGTGCTGTGTGTTCTAAGATGGGCCTGAGAAATGTTGCATAAATTGAAGAGAATGACTTTGAGATTTCTAAGGCTACTCTTAGATTTATCAGACGAGCATTGGCTGCAGTTTATTCCTGGAAATTGGCTGTCATATACCTATCAACATTTGTCTTGTTTCATGTAGCCTAACTCTTTTCATGTTAATTGTATTATTATACATGAATTATTTTAACCCCTTGACTGTCACAACCCCCAATCCTGAGGCATCTCCTGGTGTCGCAAAATTTAAAAAAAAAAAAAAATATTTTATGAATTGATAGAGAATCTTTTTCCGATTGTAATGACACCAAAAAACGAAATTTGATGGAAAACTGACGGAATTACGCTCTTGCAAAGTTAGCGACCTTGGTGATATTTAAAAATCGGCGATTTTGCCCACTTTGAGCCCTATTTTCGGCTAATTCCGTTGTTCCAGTTTACCAAACTCATAGCTATTTCTTTAGAACTCCATTTTTTCTATCGATTGAGTACAAGAAACTGCCCATTTACCAATTTCAACTACCCAATAACGTGGTCAGAAATTTGCAATTTGGCCAATTTCACGAAAATTAAAAAATATGACAATTTCAAAATAAGGTCCAGAATGAACAATGCAGACATTTCTGGTTGTAAAATAACATTTTCTTTGTTCATCAGTCATGTCTCCAGGCCCCTCTGATATTACTCTTGCTTTCTATTTTTAAATTTTATTCAAATAAAAAATAGAACATTTACTGTTATGCCAACTACTGCAATACTGAATAATTATACAAATAATGTCAACCCATTCATGACTGCATATTAGAATGGCTAGTTGGACATTTATTGGAAAATGACATCATTTGTTTACTTTGAACATCGGCAAAATTCAAACACTTTCCCCTAATTTGAGCTCCATTTCCAGGTTCTTTTTATAGTAAAACCAATCAAAATCACCTCTATTTCTATAATATGTTTTCCATTCTATTGAAGGAGACCAAGAAAACGAGAATACAACCATAAATACTATACGAAAATAGATCACAAAGTCGGCATTTTAATTAAAAAAAAAAAAGGTCTTTTTTTTTCTCATTATGCACTACGTGCTCCAGGATTTTTTTTTATATGGTGCACACTGACCACACAGACCCATTCTCTCATATGTGGGCCTATCAGCTTTCTCCTGCTTGATTTGAAACCACTAGAATTTATGAATATATGTATATACGTCAAACACGGTACCTCGTAAGACGTATATATATGACCAAAACAGTCAAAGGGTTAAATTTACTAAATTAATACATATTGTGAGAAATCTAAAATACATGTATATATTGGTGGGAAATGACCGATGTGTTAAAAAAAATAGTGGACCCTCAGTTAACAACATTAATCCGTTCCAGAGAGCTTGTCTTTAACCGATTCTGTCGTCATTCGAATTAATTTTCCCCATAAGAAATAATGGAAATTCAATTAATCCGTTCCAGACACCCAAAAGTATTAAAGAAAATAATTTTTTTTACATGTAATATACATTTCCCTACACAGAAAACACTTGAGACATGCATTAATAATTAATAAAATGACACTTACCTTTATTGAAGATGTATTTGATGAGTTATGAGATGGGAGGAGGGCAGAGGATGGAGGAGTTTATAATTGTTTGGAAGGGGAATCCCCTTCCATAAGGACTTTAGGTACCAAGTCCTTTTCTGGGGGTTACCTCTCTTCTTTGTTTTTTAATGCCACTAGGACCAGCTTGAGTCACTGGACCCCTGTCACACCAAAAATCTGTCCAGAGAGCTCTGTTTCTGGCATCTCTTTAAGATTTCCCTAAAATGGGACACAACTTTGTCATTGTAGATGTTGCCAGCACAGCCTGCAACAGCTGTGTCAGGGTCATGTTCATTCATAAATGTTTGCACATAAGAAAGCAGGAACACTGCAGCAGGCCTGTTGGCCCATGCTAGGCAGGTCCTTCACAAAGCATCCCACTAACAGAATCATATTTGCCCAACCCAATTTTCAATGCTTCCCAAGCAATAAACTTTGATAATTCTATTCACTCATGCGCAAGTCCCAAACAAATCAAATCGTGTGTGTGGGGAAGTACCCTTGCTGGTATGTGGGGAAGTACCCTGGCTAGTGTGTGGGGAAGTACCCTGGCTGGTGTGTGGGGAAGTACCTTGGCTGGTATATGGGGAAGTACTCTGGCTGGTATATGGGGAAGTACCCTGGCTGATATATGGGGAAGTACCCTGGCTGGTGTACATAATAAAACAGGAACACTGCAGCAGATCTGTTGGCCCATACTACCACCATCACTACCACCACCACTTTTGTATCTTTCTACAAACTTTTTCTTAAATTTTAGTGTTTCTCACCCTCTTTACCAAAGGGCTGGCACTAGAAGCTTTCTTTGGGCCCATGGTGGCTTATTTAGCAGTTACAAGCACTAAAAACAATGGAATAATACAAAATGTATCGCATGTTTGTGTGGAGTCATCCTCACTGGCTTGTAAACAATGGCACACTGGCTGTACATGGAGTGTCCAGGCGCTCACTCCGTGTGGACATGTTCGGGACGAATGACTGTAACCAAGTTCTTCGTCGTTAACTGAGCAAATATTTTGACGCAAAAAATGTGTCGTTATCTGATTTTTATGTTATCTGATGATGTCTTTAACTGAGGGTCCACTGTTTAAATATACAGTGGTACCTCGAGTTTTGAACAGCTCCCAACTCAAACAGTTACGTAAGTGTATTTTTGGGGGTCTGAAAGAACAAATTCGTTTGGTATCGGCACTTGAACAGCCTTCTGGAACGAATTAAGTTCGTAACTCGAGGTACCACTGTATATGTAATTGAAACTTAACCCTTGAAAATCTGTGTGAACAATATTAATTACATGTCCTAAAAATATTATTTATGCATCTTAACATCAAGATATTCATGTTATGCAGGTGTGATGTCATCATAAACCTCTTCGACAAAGCCAGCAAGGTTCAAGTTCTTGAAGATACCTGTGAGATGTGTGGTTCACAAACAGTCAATGTTGAATATAAGGAGGTAAATATTGTCTTATTTCATGTTGTAAGGTAGAAAATGCCTGTTGCAGATGAAACAGTTATTATAATTGGAGAAGCACTCAATCTGTATGAATCATACAATACATGGGGACTGGGAGACTGGTTCAGTCCAAGGAAGGGGAAGATATATCCACATCTACAAATTAAGAGCCCCTCATCAGCATAGAGTATTATCATTACATTAGTGGGAGCAATGCTAAATCCAAAGGGGTTATAGAGTGCTCAGGGGAAATTAAAGGCACCCAGGCCTGATCCAAACAAAGGAAGGATGAGTCCAATTCCTTGGATCAAAAGCCCCTAACTGGCATCAAGGCACCTCCTTGGAGGGATACTTGTCAGCATTAGCTGCCATTCTACACATTATGTAGAGAAATTTAGTTCAGGCTGTTTTCAGTCAGTTTGATTACATAATTTTGTTTTATGAATTACTTAAGCATAATGTTGTTAGGTAAGACACATATGCGACAGTTAGGTATCTTTATTATGAAACGTTTCGCCTACACAGTAGGCTTCTTCAGTCAAGTACAGAAAAGTTGATAGAAGCAGAAGATACTTGAAGACGATGTAATCAGTCCATCACCCTTAAAGTTTTGAGGTGGTCAGTCCCTCAGTCTGAAGAAGAGCATTGTTCCATAGTATGAAACAATATGGAGAAGAAGTGACAGGATGGAGCTATTTATAGCGCCAAGAGGTGAGACGTAGGAGAGGTAAGAACTCAGATGTTGAGAGGTCCCTCTCAAATCCAGCCCCTCTCACTAGTGGAAGTTGTCGAAGTTGATTGCAGGTCTGTACCAAGATACCCTTGTGTTGCAGTGTCTGACAGATTGAACATTAAAATGGTATAAAATACCGACAGGTTGTTAGGTAAGACACATATGCAGTGTCTGACAGATTGAACATTAAAATGGTATAAAATACCGACAGGTTGTTAGGTACCTAACAACCTGTCGGTATTTTATACCATTTTAATGTTCAATCTGTCAGACACTGCATATGTGTCTTACCTAACAACCTGTCGGTATTTTATACCATTTTAATACTTTAGCATAATACTATGTACTATTTTCTAAAGCTTCTCATTATTCTGCAGGGCAAAAGTAAACTGAGAGAAGGACAATTAACAGCCAGTGGATGTATATTCTGCAGCACACTACTGATACCCCTGGTGGAAAAGCACAGAGCTTCTCAAGATGGTAGTCGTGGTAGAGGAAGGGGCAGAGGGAGAGGAAGAGGGGCAAGCAGAGGAGGGCGAGGGGGCAGTAGAGGTGGACGAGGTCGTAGTAGTGGAAGAGGAAGAAGATAGTTTTAAGTTTGCTTTTGTAAATAAAAGTTCAAATATCTTTGTTTTATTTATTTCCATATCAAATTTACAGAATGTACATTTCATAATTAAACAGCCTCATAATGAAGTGAACAATTACATTGTATTTACCATAACTTATGTTTGTCATTAATAATAAAGGTAGGTAAGCACTAAACCTGTAAGGGTCTGTCTGCTGTATAAATTTCTTCACATACAGGTTGGCCATCACTAATCCAGCAATCAGTAATTCGGCTAGTGTAATTTCAAATTTCCAGGGTTGCCTCGCCAACCAGCTGCTACTGTTTTGTGGCGCTACTTGCTGTAGTCATTCCAATTTCTTTCTCTATTTTTATAACCTGCTCACTTTTAGCCCTAGCCATGGTTCCAATGAATAAAAGAAAGGCTTCTCGCTGAGTCAAGCACATACACCATATATTGTCCATATAAGATGAGGTGACTTTGAAGCCACTGTCAGCTGCCATGAACTCGGCTCACTCAGATAAGCTGTGACCAGTACATTTGGGCCTACATATGAGAGAATAAGTCTGTGGGGTAAAAGTGAACGATGTAAAAAATCCTGCAGCATAGTGCATAAAGAGGAAAAAAAATGGTGACCATGCTTTTGATGTAAAACGGTGAGTTTTGCAGTGTATTTTCGTATGGTTCTATTCTCGTTTTTTTGGTCTCTCTTGATAGAATGGAAGATTGGTTTCATGCCAGAACCTCAAAATTGAGCTCAAAGTAGCAGAAACGTTTGATTTTTGCTAATGCTCAAGAGTAAACAAATGATGTCACCGTCCAATACATGCCCAACGTGCCAGTCTAACACAGTCACAAATGAGTTGACATTATTTATACAATTATTCCAATAATGCAGTAGTCTGCATAACAGTAAATTTTCTATTTTTTGTGTGAATAAAAATTCAAAATGGAAAGCAAGTGTAATATAAGAGGAGCCTGGAGACATGACTAATGAACAGAGAAAATGTTATTTTAGTGACAGTTATGTCTGTGTTGTTTATTCTGGACCCTATTTTGAAATTTGCAACTCTTGAAATTTGTGTGAAATTGGCCAAATTACTGATTCCTGACCACTTTACTGGGTAGTTGAAATAGGTAAACGGGCAGTTTCTTGTAATCGAGCAACAGAATAGAAGGAATACTAGCAGAATAGTTTGGTGGATATTGACATTAAGTGTGTTCTAACCTAACCACTCTATAATCTGGCAAAATTACTAATCCGGCACCCTACAGGTCCCAATGATGCTGGATTAGTGATGGTCAACCTATACTATATTTCCCTTGGAACTACTATCTTGATGGTTCAATATTCTGTAGACATATTTGTGGGGATATTCTGTACTGTTATAATTACACTGAGTAGGGGGGGGAGAGGGGGTTGCTAAACTGGGAGGGTCATATAGGGCCTAGAGGAATGGGAAGCATTCAGCTTCAATCAAATGAAAAAGCAGCATAGGTCCAATCCCTTAGATTAAAAAGCCCCTTACCAGAATCTAGGAGCCTTCCTCGGGTAAAGAATTTTTCGTAGAAGCTTTCCATTATATACAGGTTTTTGTATTAGGAAAGTGTTTTGCCAGAACTTAAGAGTGCTGAAAACAATTAAATTTAACAAGATCTTATGTGAAACTGTTAGAGGGGTTAGTTATTTAAATGAATATTAGCCTTCAAGAGGGCACTTTCTAAGGAACTAGAGCTACATGTTTAACTCCCATACCTTAGGCTGACCCCAAATACACCATTAAAAATAAGTGCATCATTACTGCAAGACTTTAGAGTGTTGCTTCCACTTTCTCTCTCTCTCTCTCTCACATTCTACAATGCTTATAAATAATCAGTGTTATTAACTCTGAGCTACAAATAGCCTATTTCTTTCACAGAAGTACCAGTGTGGATTTTGATTAAGGGGGGGGGGGGATACAGACAATAACAGCATAACCACTAACAAAACCTGTTTGAAATTTAGAAAGGAAATGCTTGCAGTGTCTAAAGTATACATTAGAGAATTATGACTGCTCCAAACTGTACTGCTGCTGCTTTCAACAAAATGGCCATATCCCACTGAGGTAGGGTGGCCCATAAAAGAAAAAGAGAAGTTTCTCTTTTTAAATTTAGTAATTTATACAGAAAAAGGGGTTACTAGCCCCTTGCTCCTGGCATTTTAGTTACCTCTTACGACACACATGGCTTACGGAGGAAGAATTTTGTTCCACTTCCTCGTGGAGATAAGAGGAAATAAACAAGAACAAGAACTATTAAGAAAATAGAAGAAAACCCAGAGGGGTGTATATATATAAATATTCTTGTACATGTATGTGTAGTGTGACTTAAGTGTAAGTAGAAGTAGCAAAATGTACCTGAAATCTTGCATGTATATGAGACAGAAAAGACACCAGCAATCCTACCATTGTGTAAGACAATTACAGGCTTTCGTTTTACACTCACTTGGCAGGACGGTAGTACCTCCCTGGGTGGTAGCTGTCTACCAACCTACTACCTAGGAAGAAATAAAATTACATGTATATATAAAAATATATGCTTATAAAAGCTGCATATATTTAACAGCTATTAATACTGCTCTATTCACTATCATCAGAAAATAAATCCTGCATGGCAGCTGTAGGTAATGTAAGAAGAGCATAGCTAAAGAATATATTTGTCCCTGAAGTCAATATACTCTCTACTCCTGGAGGAAAGGTCCATCCAGATGTTTCCATTACGAAGCAATTGTCTCGCATAATGTCAGATGAGTCACCTTTTCCTACAATTACCAGGTGTTCATTATTTGCCAATGCTGTAGTTGAGATCTTGGCTTCATTGGGGACTCGAAGTTTAGACAATATTGTCCAACCCATTGGAGAATCACTGAAGAGGGCTTCTGTTCCTGTTACCTTGAGCTGGCCTTGTGCACTTGGGCATTCAATAGGCCTGGCACCTCCAATGACAAAGATATTTCCACCGTGACTAATTGCTGTAGCATAACTTCGACGTTCTTTGAGCTGAGGCCCAGCAACCCAAATCTGTAAATTGTCCAAAATGTTACCAGGTTTTACACACACTGCATGATACACATGACAAAGGATGTATATGATGAGCCAGCGAGACTGGGCCTAGTGTTTACTGCAGGTACATCTGACAGAATATGAGAGCTCTCTGGGAGCTAATGAACATGCTGTTCTGTACTTCAAGTACCTAGCGAAACTAGCGGTTGAGGGAAGTACAGTAGATGGAGGGAACGAAAACCCAGACTTTAAAAGGGAGAATTCTGAGAGGATGGAAGAAAAGGACAGATGAAAATGGAGGCGAGTAGATTTGCCAGAAATGCTATGCTAGGCTAAGGAAAGGTGCTGAGAGATAAGCTGAGAATGACACAGCAGCATAGGCCAAACCTGAAACAAACTACTTCACAAGCACATCAGAAGAATGACAACAGTAAAGGACCGTGTAATTCAATTGAGGAAGGAAGGAGAACTCACGAACAATGATAAGGATATCTGAAATGATGAAATGATTTGAAGAGGTCTTAGTGGAAACTGGGGCAATACCAGAAATTATGGACAGAGGGCACCAACAAGAACCGGATGTCATCTACACAGGAAAATTGGTAAAGAAATTTTGATGGACTTTAACACATCAAAGGCAATGGAACTTCACAACAGGTCACATGATTCTGTGAAAGGTAGCAGAAGCACTGTCTAGACCATTAGCTATAATATACAATAAGTCAGTGGATATAGGATAGTTACCAATCTGAAAGACAAAGCAGAGGCATTAAACTATAGACCAGTTACTCTGACATACATACCTGCTGTATAGTCCTTGTGGCTTAGCGCTTCTTTTTGATTATAATAATAATAATAATAATGACATACATACCTTGCAAGGCAATGAAGAAACTTATCCCTTGGAGAGAAATGGTTTCATAAGCAACAACTAGCATAGGGTTAGGGATGGCAAATCTGGTCTTCATAACTTATTGGATTTCTATGACAAAGTAATATATATCTGGCAATATACTGGGCACTATGCTCACCTAGGGGTGAGCAGTGCCCAATATATTGCCAAAGGCTCACATCAACCAAATAAACTCTGCAGCCAATGCTCATCTGACAAATCTAAGAGTAGCCTTCAAGAATCTCAAACAAAGTCATTCCGGACCGTTTATACATTTGATCCATCACTGGGGTATATAGCACATAGGAAACCAACCTGAAAGAGACATGTGAAGAAAGTGCAAAAGTATGAAACAAAACTTTTTTCCTGAGCTAAGGGGCATGAGCTACAAGAAGCTAACAGAATTGGATCTAATGACACTGGAGAGCAGAAGAACCAGGGACGACATGATAAAAACATACAAAATACTTAGGGAATAGGGCCAATGAGGCTAAGAGGGAATGAATCTGGAAAGTAGCAAGGCCAGGATCTAAGAATTGACCCCTGCAATCACAAATAGATGAGTAGATGCAAAAAAAAAAAAAAAAAAAAGATTTTGACCAACAGTATATTATAAAGAAGCTTCAAAGAAACAGTGAAATTAGATATGGCAGTTCTTTTTTTTTCCCAACAAACCAGCCACATCCCACCAAGGCAAGGTGACCTAAAAAGAAAAACAAAAGTTTCTCTTTTTAAATTTAGAAATGTATACAGGAGAAGGGGTTACTAGTCTCTTGCTCCTGGCATTTTAGTCACCTCTTATGGCACACATGGCTTATGGAGGAAGAATTCTGTTCCACTTACTATCTCCCCATGGAGATGGTATTTCTTCTTAACATTTAATACTGTACTATTACAGTAAATCTCTCACTAAGGGATTTCAGATAAAAAATCTGCCAGGCAAATGCTATAATCATTAGACAAAATGGACTAAAGTCTGTAATTTCGCATTTTGTACATAGAAATAGTCTGCTTGTCTTCTGAAGTATTGGGTTAAGTCTGCTAAGACATTTGTCCAGTAAGGACCAAAGCAGTTGTGTCCAGAACCTGTCTGTTTTCAAAGTTTCCTGAGCTGTAAGCTACCTACGCTAATTTATTGTGCTCACTCTACATCTCAGCCCTCTACATCTTAACCATCTGCATCTTCTCAGCCATCTACATTAGTAGTAGTGCAGATCAGGTTCACTACTTCAGAAGACAACCAATCATGAAATAATAAATATCACAATTCAGGGATTGTTTACAATGGGCATTATCACACACCCCTCCTATTAGGTCATTAATGAGAAAGCTTTACTGTATTTTAGATGAGGCACTAGGGGTAAACAGAATATAGTAAGTTAAAGCAGTATGTTTACATAGGCCTGCCTAGAGGTTCCTACTTTCATGGTCATCCACAAAAAAAAAAAAATGGCTTTCAATACTGAATCAGAGAGAGAGATGAAGATTATATTAACCTGAGAATTACCATAACATTACATACCTCTTCTTTTATACAAAAGATTTCTACAGCATCTAACACCCTGAAAAATGGACTTCCATCTGGCAGCTCCTGCCATGGAGATCCTCCAATATAGTATATTTTTTCATCCGACACTGCTACTGCTGCCCCTCTACGTACATTGGGTATAGAAGGCAGGGTCCTCCATTTATTAGCATAAATATCAAATTCTTCAAGATTTGAAATTTCAAGTTCTACCTGAAATAAAAATTTATTGATGAAAGTTAAAGAAATAGACAAACACTAGATATGGTTTGATCAAAATAAAAATGAGATAGTCCCAATATATCCTGGTATGTATCATAGTACAGGCCTTCTAAATAGTACAAGTGATTTCATTAAAGGATCTTAAAAATGCATATGTATAACTTTCACTTTTCAGCCTCTCCCTCTACACAACAAACCAGCCACATCCCACCATGGCAGGGTGACCTAAAAAGAAAAATATGGCCAAGCTCCTAGCACTCAAAATCTCCCTTAGCCTCCTCCCTCCAACCCTACCCCTCCTTCCTTCTACCTCAGATATATCTTAAATATACTAAGCCTTAAATTAAAGCTGCTGAAGTCTGAAATTACCAAGAATAACTGAGAGCATAAACTCAATTCCTCACACCCACTTAAAATCACTTGCACTTAGTAAAAAATCCTTAAAATATCCCTTAAATTTTTTTTAACCCTTACACTGGTGAGAATAGATATCAAAGTGACCTTTTGGAATCAAATTCAAATTCAAATTCAAAGTTTATTCTCTATAAAGATTACAATGTTGATAAATTAGACACATGTGCAACTCTTGGGTATCTTTATTGCACATGTGTCTAATTTATCAACATGTCGGTTCTCTGAACCATTCATCTACAAAGATTACAATGTTGAATTTACAGAATTTGGTTGTTGTGTGGTTTACATGTAGTTAAATAATGATTACAGAGTGTATCACTAGAACGCCTAGTATGGCTAGGCATTTCGGGCAGACTTAGTTTAATTCTTTATTTTAAAATATGGTATGATATAGGCCACATCTTCCCTTTGATAATTCATATTCCTTATGATGTAACCTCTAACCAGTGGATGCTTACGACTGCCATTGAAAATAATGTGAACCTCAACTCAAAAGGCCAAGTAACACGTATTCATGAGGACAAGCCCTGATTGAAGGAAAAAACAGCTGATGGTACTGACAAATATGGAAGATTTAAATATTGTACATCTGTGGATAAATTAGAATCAAATGTTATAAACATCTCATATGGAATCAATAATTGCCGAAGCAATTCGTAGCCATCTTGACAGGCACAGATTGATTAATGAATCTCAACACGGTTTTACAAAGGGGCGTTCCTGTCTTACGAATTTACTAACTTTTTTCACTAAGGTGTTTGAGGAGGTAGATCATGGTAATGAATATGATATTGTGTATATGGACTTCAGTAAGGCTTTCGATAGAGTTCCACACCAGAGGCTATCGAGGAAACTTAAGGCACACGGAATAGGAGGAGAAATTTTTTCCTGGGTAGAGGCATGGCTGACAAATAGACAGCAGAGAGTTTGCATAAATGGGGAGAAATCAGAATGAGGGCACGTTACAAGCGGTGTTCTGCAGGGGTCAGCGTTGGGCCCGTTGTTGTTCACAATTTACATCAACGACATAGATGAGGGAATAAATAGCGACATAAGCAAATTTGCTGATGACACCAAAATAGGCTAGATAATTCATTCTAATGAGGACACTAGAGCACTCCAGGATGATTTGAATAGACTGATGCAATGGTCGGAGAAGTGGCAGATGCAGTTTAATATTGACAAATGCAAAGTTCTAAATGTTGGACAGGTAAATAACCATGCCACATATAAACTAAATTATGTAGATCTTAATACTACTGATTGCAAAAAGGATTTAAGAGTTCTGGGTAGCAGTAATTTAAAACCAAGGCAACAGTGCATTAGTGTTCACAATAAAGCTAACAGAATTCTTGGCATAATAGAAGTCCTCAGGTTGTTCTTCAACTCTATATATCCTTGGTTAGGCCTCATTTAGATTATGCTGCTCAGTTCTGGTCACCGTATTACAGAATGGATATAAACGCTCTGGAAAACGTACAGAGGAGGATGACAAAAGTGATCCCATGTATCAGAAATCTTCCCTATGAGGATAGACTGAGAACCCTGAATCTGCACTCTCTCAAAAGGCGTAGAATTAGGGGGGATATGATCGAGGTGTATAAATGAAAAACAAGAATAAATAGAGGGGATGTAAATAGCGTGCTGAAAATTTCCAGCCAAGGCAGGACTCGCAGCAATGGTTTCAAGTTGGAAAAATTCAGATTCAGAAAGGATATAGGAAAGCACTGGTTTGGTAATAGAGTTGTGGATGAGTGGAACAAACTCCCAAGTACAGTTATTCAGGCTAAAACGTTGTGTAGTTTTAAAAATAGGTTAGATAAATACATAAGTGGGTGTGGGTGGGTGTGAGTTGGACCTGACTAGCTTGTGCTGCTGGGTCTGGTGCAGTGCTCCATCCTTGAGTGGAGATGATCAGACTGGGTGGGTCATTGGACTAATCCAGGGGGGTCATTGGTCTAATCCGGGGGGGGGGGGGACATGGACCTGCTCCGCATGGGTCAGTAGGCCTGTTGCAGTGTTCCTTCTTTCTTATGTTCTTAAATGTATGCTAAAATCAGTAGCATGAGTATACGGTCATTTACCATAGGTGTGGTATAATCTGGTCAAGAAACATCAATCTATAAATTACAATATTTTGGACATATGTTCAGCTGTTTTTATTTAATTTTTTCCTTTTTTCTATTTTTGAGGGGATATACTGGATATATATGAAAATACTCAGTCACATTCTATTGAACTAGCAAAAAATATCCAACTCAATCTTATAGGCCAATTATCAGAGGTGCCTGTGCTTTTATTTGGCAATTTTAGATTGACTGTTTGACTGACATCCAGTTAATCATAGAGAACTTTAAATTTTTCTCCTTGTGAATTAGCAAGTTGAGATAAATATGACAGCATGAATATTCTTCATATGCACATTCAAAGAATACTAAATGGCAATATGATTTTTATTTTGTTAACAAATCAGCTGTCTCCCACCAAGGCAGGGTGGCCTGAAAAAGAAAAACTTTCATCATCAGTCACTCCATCACTGTCATGCCAGAGGCATGCATACACCCCTCTTTCGGAGTGCAGATAATGTACTTCACATCTCTAGGACTCAAGTCCAGCCTGCTGGTTTCCCTGAATCCCTTCATAAATGTTACCTTGCTTACACTCCAACAGCATGCCAAGTCCTAATAATCATTTGTCTCCATTTCCTCCTATCTAACATTCTCACACATGCTTGCTGGAAGTCCAAACCCCTCACACACAAAACCTCCTTTATCCTCTCCCTCCAACCTTTCCTAGGCCGACTCCTACCCTGCCTTCCCTCCACTATAGATTTATACACTCTCAAAGTCTTTCTATTCCCTTTCATCCTCTCTACATGTCCAAACCACCTCAACATCCCCTCCTCGGCCCTCTGGATAACAGTTTTCGTAATCCCGCACCTCCTCCTAATCTCCAAACTACGAATTCTCTGTATTATATTCACACCACACATTGCCCTCAGACATGACATCTCCAGTGCCTCCAGCCTTTTCCTTGTTGCAACATTCCCCACCCATATTTCACACCCATATAAGAGCTCTGGTATAACTATACTCTCATACATTACCCTCTTTGCTTCCATGGACAAAGTACTTTGTCTCCACAGACTCCTAAGTGTACCATTCACCTTTTTCACCTCATCTTTCATAGACTCATAAATAAGACATTTTTATAAAATATTTAAGGGAAACAAAAACATATCCTGTAAGACAGATTGATTGAAATCTTAGATAACTTACCTCATTATTATATCCCCCCAAAACGTAAAGTTTTCCAGCATGTGCTACAACTCGTGGTGAGCAACAAGAAAAGGGCATAGGAGACATCAGAATCCAGGTGTTAGACACAGGATCATATCGCTGAACATCATTCTGAAGTACTCTGTCTGTACTAATTCCACCCAGGGCAAAAAGATATCCACCTAGAAAGCAAAGTAATTTTTGCTATTATTTCCACTTCCCCTTTCATATAAAAATGCACCTCCAGATCGTGTGTTTTAACTATGGTCTCATTCTTATGCTGAAGACTTTATATTAGAGGATGCAAAATTAAACCTAATTTTAGTAGAAAAATAAATCTGTTTAGCACAGAGAGTAAGAAGAATACTTTAACCCTTTCAGGGGTCAAGACCCCTGATCTGAAAATTTCTCCCAGGGTCCAAAAATTTTCAAAATAAATTATTTTTTCTTATGAAATGACAGAGAATCTTTTTCGAAAGGTAATAAAACGACAAGTTAGAAATTTGACGAAAAACTCATGGAATTATGCTCTCACAAAGCTAGCAGTCTCAGAAATATTTACACATTAATGATTTCTCCTACTTTACATCCTACTGTAGGCTAATTCCATTGTTCCAGTCGACCAACTCATAGCTATTTCGCTAGTATTCCTTCCATTCTATCAGTTAAATTGAAGAAACTGCCCATTTACCTGTTTCAACTACCCAATAAAGTGATCAGAAACTGGTAATTTAGCCAATTTCACACAAAATTAAAAAGTTTAAAATTTCAAAATAGGGACCAGAATATAGACATTCCTTACACTAAAACAACATTTCCTCTGTTCATCAGTTATGTCCCTAGGCCTCTCCTATATCCCACTTGCTTTCCATATTGAATTTTTATTCACACAAAAAAATAGAAGATTTACCAGTATTATTGTAATAATTGCATAAAACAATGTCAATGCATTCGTGAACGTGTATTAGACTGACCAGTTAGACATGTATTAGATGAATGAAGTACGTACAGTGGATCCCCGCCCAATGGCAGCATCAAGTAACAGGAAATTCGTCTACGGCGCTCTTTGGCGTAAAAAAAAATGGCTCTGCCAACGGCGAAAAACTCATCTAACGGTGTTCGGCCCGAGCGGGCCCAGCATCTCCAAGACTCAGTGTGCCATTGTTTACAAGCTGTTGTGGTCGATTCCACATGTACCTGTGATATATTTTGTATTATTCCAGTGTTTTTAGTGCTTGTAACCAGTAAATAAGCCACATGGGCCCCAAGAAAGCTTCTAGTGCCAAGCCTGTGGTAAAAAGGGTGAGAATTACAATGGAAATGAAGGAAGAGATCACTGAAAAATACGAAAGTGAAGTGCATATGTCTGAGTTAGAAAGCATACACATTGAACCCTCGGCTAACAAACGCATCGCATAACATTAAATTCGCCCAACGAAGCATTTGAACGTAAACATTTTGGCCTGGCTAACAAAAAAACTCTCCCAACGTGATTCGTCCCGTACCTGTCCGTCCAGCCTGAGCGCTTCAGCTGCCCTTCTGTCATTGTTTACAAGCCAGGGTGGCTGGTTTCATGCATACATTCAATACATTTTGTATTATTCCATTGTTTATAGTGCTTGTAACTGCTAAATAAGCCACCATGGGCCCAAAGAAAGCTTCTAGTGCCAATCCTGTGGTAAAAAGGGTGAGAAATACTATCGAAATACTATCGTACCACGGTCAGCTGCTGCTGCGCCACCGTCAGCTGTTGCTGCACCACCGTCAGCTGTACTACTCGAAGATGTGGAGAGACTGTTGTTGGTGTGGCTTAACGAGAAACAATTACCGAGAAACAATTAACCCCAGAGGGTTAGCCACCCAGGATAACCCAAGAAAGTCAGTGAGCCATCGAGGACTATCTAACTTATTTCCATTGGGGTCCTTAATCTTGTCCCCCAGGATGCGATCCACACCAGTCGACTAACCCAGGTGAACAGGGAAAAAATGCCTAGAACTAGTGCTCATATTGGTGAATTTAAGGCCAGCAAAGGTTGGTTTGAGAGATTTAACAATTGCAGTGGCATACATAGTGTGAGAAGGCATGGCAAAGCTGAAAAATTCCAACCCCAATAAGTGTTCAATTGTGACGAAACAGGCCTGTTTTGGAATAAAATGCCAAGCAGGACCTACATTACTCTGGAGGAAAGGGCACTCCCAGGACACAAGCCTATGAAAGACAGGCTAACTTTCTTGTTTTGTTGTAATGCTAGTGGGGATTGCAAAGTGAAGCCTTTACTCATGTATCACTCTGAAAATCCCAGAGTGTTCAAGAAAAACAGTGCCTCATCACTCATCAATACTCTTCAATAAAGGTGTCATTTTAACATTTATTTATATAGTTATTGTGCATGTCTCATTGTTTTCTTTATAGGGAAATGTATATTTCATGAAAAAAAAAAAAAAAAATTTTTTAATACTTTTAGCTGTCTGGAACAGATTAATTGGATTTCCATTATTTCTTATGGGGAAAATTAATTCGGCTAACGATAATTTCGTCTAACGATGAGCTCTCAGGAACAGATTAATATTGTTAGCCAAGGGTCCACTGTACAACAAATCCCATTCAACCATCAGTACTATCTTGGACCTACAAGAGCCACAGGTGCAACAGCAACAGATCACATCTCAGGAATGTTCTTCAGAGCAGGAGGAAGAGAAACGGAGGAAGATGACTTCGTCAAGGATTAGGGAAATGTGTACAATGTTTACAAAGGTGCAAGCATTTATCAATAAATTTTATCCTGTCACAGCTGTTGCAAGCCATATTGGCAACATGTACAATGACACTCTTGTGTCCCATTTTAGGGAAATCCTAAGGGTACATGAGAAACAGAGCTCTCTGGACAGCTATTTTGTGCGACAGGGGTCCAGTGACTCTCAAGCTGGTCCTAATGGCATTAAAAAACCAAGAAGGGAGGTAACCCTGCCAAAGGACTTGGTACCTGAAGTCTTTATAGAAGGGGATTTCCCTTCCAAACACCAGAACACCTGCATCATCTGCCCTCCTACCATCTCATCACTCATCAACAACTCCACAATAAAGGTAGGTGGCATTTAATTATTGTTTATTTTGCATGTCCCATTCGTTTTTGTGTAGGGAAATGTATATTTCATGTAAAAAATTATTCTGTTTAATACTTTTGGGTGTCTTGAACAGATTAATTCTATATCCATTATTTCTTATGGGGAAAATTAATTCGACTAATGGCATATTCAACTAACGACTAGCTCTCTGGAACGAATTAATGCCATTGGTCGAGGGTCCACTGTAATTTGTGTCCTCTGGAATATATCGGCAAAAATTGAATAGTTCCGTTAGTTTGAGCTCGGTTTCAAGCTACTTTCAGTTCTGAAACCAATCAAAATCTTTTCTATTTTTGTAATATACCCTCCATTCAATCACGTGATACCAAGAAACTAAGAATACAACCATAAAAACCATCTGAAAATACACCACAAAGTCACTATTATAAACCAAATTCATGGTTGCAGTTTTTTCCCATCATACACTGCGTGGGGCAGGATTTTTTATATGGTGTACACTCCCAGCAAAGACTCATTCTCTCATGTCTAGGCCCAAATTTACTGCTCAGAGCTTATCTGAATGAGCTGAACTCATCATGCAGTTCTACAGCAAAGACCCAGAGTCCAAAGCTGTAGTACTATAGCACAGACCTCAAAATGGTTAAGAAAGATAACTCCCCCCACAAAGAAGAGATAATAGAAAGCTTTTGTCACAAAATAGAACAACGGAATGGATTTAGATATGTACTAAATGCTACAACCATTGAAAATTAAAAATACTGTATAATATGACTTAATTACTGAACATGGGACAACACAAACGTAGCTCTGCTCCTATAGTTACAAATACGTAATTACACCCACCTTCAACAACCAGTGCAGGTTTTATCCTCGGGAACCACATTGGTGCCACCCGGACATGAGCTCCTGCATGTTTCCCTGAACCAAGTATATCCACTAGATAAATGTTAGCATTACCATCAGCACATGCCAGTACTGTCTTCATTCCTCTCTCTCTGATGAATCTGATTCTCCTTGTCTTGTTAAGAGCATCTAATACTCTTTTTGCACCAGGAGAGTCCCAAGGAGGATTGGAAGCTCGAAGATCTTGTAAAGCTCGTTGAAATTTTGGATCATACTTCAAATCATTAGACTCTCGTAAACAACCAGTTACTAGAGATCTGAAAATTATCATATGGTATATTAGGTTGTTAGGATAATTAAAAGTCAAATTAACTTTTTTTTATAGCCTGGTCACTAAAACAAAATTCAACCATTTAATGCATTTTAAAAGAATATATTATTTATTTTTATTTTATTAACACATCGGACATTTCCCACCAAGGCAGGGTGGCCTGAAAAAGAAAAACTTTCATCATCACTCACTCTATCACTGTCTTGCCAGAGGCATGCTTACACTACAGTTATAAAACTGAAACATTAACACCCCTCCTTTAGAGTGCCAGCACTGTACTTCCAATCTCCAGGAATCAAGTCCGGCCTGCTGGTTTCCCCGAATCCCTCCATAAATGTTACCTTGCTTACACTCCAACAGCACGCAAAGTCCTCAAAACCATTTGTCTCCATTTACTCCTATCTAACACGCTCATGTACGCTTGCTGGAAGTCCAAGCCCCTTGCGCACAAAACCTCCTTGACCCCCTCCCTCCAACCTTTCCTAGGCCGACCCCTACCCCACCTTATCTCCACTACAGATTTATACACTCTTGAAGTAATTTTATTTCATCCCATCCTCTCTACATGTCCAAACCATCTCAATAACCTCTCCTCAGCCCTCTGGATAAGAGTTTTGGTAATCCCACACCTCCTCCTAATCCCCAAACTACGAATTCTCTGCATTATATTCACACCACACATTGCCCTCAGACATGACATCTCCAATGCCTCCAGCCTTCTCCTTGTTGCAACATTTACCACTGATATTTCACACCCATATAAAGCACTGGTATAACTATACTCTCATACATTCCCCTCTTCGCTTTCATGGATAAAGTTTTTTATCTCCACAAACTCCTCAGTGCACCATTCACCTTTTTCCCCTCGTCAATTCTATGATTCACCTCATCTTCCATAGACCCATCTGCTGACATGTTCACTCCCAAATATCTGGATACACTCACCTTCATACTCTCTCCCTCCAATCTGATGTCCAATCTTCCGTTACCTAATTTTTTTGTAATCCTCATCACCTTACTCTATCCTATATTCACTTTTAATTTCCTTCTTTTACATACCCTACCAAACTCATCAACCAACCTCTGTAACTTCTCTTCAGAATCTCCCAAAAGCAGTGTGATCAGCAAAGAGCAACTGTGACAACTCCCACTTTGTGTTAGATTCTTTATCTTTTAACCCCACACCTCTTGTCAACATCCGAGCATTCACTTCTCTTACAACTCCATTTATAAATATATTGAACAACCATAGTGACATTACACATCCCCATCTAAGGCCTATTTTTACTGAGAAATAATCTCCCTCTCACCTACATACTCTAACCTGAGTCTCACTTTCCTCATGAAGACTCTTCACTGCTTCCGATAACCTACCTCCTATTCCAAACATTTGCAACATCTGCCACATTGCTGCCCTATCCACCCTATCATATGCCTTTTCTAAGTCCATAAATGCTGCAAAAAACTATTTTCTTTCTTCTTTCAACACACCGACCTTATCCCACTGAAGCGGGGTGGCCCAAAAGGAAAAACGAAAGTTTCTCCTTTTACATTTAGTAATGCATACAGGAGAAGGGGTTACTAGCCCCTTGCTCCCGGCATTTTAGTCGCCTCTTACGACACGCATGGCTTACAAAGGATGAATTCTGTTCCACTTCCCCATGGAGATAAGAAGATATAAACAAGAACAAGAACTAGTAAGAAAATAGAAGAAAACTCTGAGGGGTGAGTATATATAAATGCTTGCATATGCATGTGTAGTGTGACCTAAGTGTAAGTAGAAGTAGCAAGATGAACATGAAATCTTACATGTTTATGAGACAGAAAAAAGACACCAGCAATCCTACCATCATGTAAAACAATTACAGGCTTTTGTTTTACACTCACTTGGCAGGACGGTAGTACCTCCCTGGGTGGCTGTGTCTATCAACCTACTACCTAGGAAAAACCTCTTTACCCTCATCTAAATACTGTTCATCTCTATGTTTCACTGCAAACACTTGGTCTACACACCCCCTACCCTTCCTAAAGCCTCCTTGTTCATCTGCTATCCTTCTCTCCATCTTACTCTTAATTCTTTCAATAATAACTCTACCATACACTTTACCAGGTATGCTCAACATTTTTTTTTTTTAACAAGTTGGCCACCTCCCACCGAGGCAGGGTGACAGACTTATTCCCCTATAATTTTTACACTCTCTTTTGTCCCCTTTGCCTTTATACATAGGAACTATGCATGCTCTCTGCTAATCCCTAGGTACCTTACCCTCTTCCATACATTTATTAAATAAAAGCACTAACCACATAATGAAAATACAAATAACCCACACATAGGAGAGAGGAGCTTATGACAATGTTTCAGTCCGATTTGGACTATTTACAAAGTCACACTGACTTTGTAAATGGTCCAAGTCGGACCGAAACGTTGTCAAAAGCGCCTTTCTCCTTTGTGTGGGTTATTTGTGCATTGTTTCAGTCACAGTATTGTGTCTTTTTGTTATTTAATGTAGAAAAGTTTGCAATCTTTTGGGCTTAATAATTTCATTGGTAGCTCCCCCCAAATTTTTTTTAAACAATTTCATGATGTAAATGAAATAAAAAGAGTGAATATCAGTCAATGGAGACATAAATTAACTGTAGACACTTTGGAGAGCATTTCTAGCTTTTGCAGTTTTGCCTGAGGCAAGGATTTCATAGGAACTAACTCATCTGTTGCTGCTTGTGGTGTGCAAACTAAAACACACCACAACCTAGCTTGCTAGGCATTTTCTAAAGAAAACTGTAAAGTTCTCTCTTCAGCTGGATTATGGTACTAGCAATATTTTTATAAGTACATGGTGAGTGGTTCTCCATGCGGAAGTGGAACAGAATTCTTCCTCCGTAAGCCATGCGTGTTGTAAGAGACGACTAAAATGCCGGGAGCAAGGGGCTAGTAACCCCTTCTCCTTTATAAATTACTAAATTTAAAAAGAGAAACTTTGGTTTTTCTTTTTGGGCCACCCTGCCTCAGTGGGATAGGGCTGGTTTGTTGAAAGAAGAAGATGGTGAGTGGTGCATTGAGGTATATGTGGAAACAAAAAACGTTATCTACGGAGGCAAAGAAGGGAATGTATGAAAGTATAGTGCTACCAACTCTCTTACATGGGTGTCAAGCTTGGGTTGTAAATGCTGCAGCAAGGAGGCAGTTGCAGGCAGTGGAGATGTCCTGTCTAAGGGCAATGTGTGGTGTAAATATTATGCAGAAAATTCGGAATGTGGAAATTAAGAGGTGTGGAGTTAATAAAAGTATTAGTCAGAGGGCTGAAGAGGGGTTGTTGAGGTGGTTTGGTCATTTAGAGAGAATGGGTCAAAGTAGAATGACATGGAGAGCGTATAAATCTGTAAGTGAAGGAAGGCGGGATAGGGGTCATCTTTGAAAAGGTTGGAGGGAGGGGGCAAAGGAGGTTTTGTGGGCGAGGGGCTTGGACTTCCAGCAAGCGTGTGAGCGTGTTAGATAGGAGTGAATGGAGACAAATGTTTTTTTTGGACCTGACGAGCTGTTGGAGTGTGAGCAGGGTAATATTTAGTGAAGGGATTCAGGGAAACCGGTTATTTTTATATAGCCGGACTTGAGTACTAGAAATGGAAAGTACAATGCCTGCAATTTAAAGGAGGGGATTCAGGATATTAGCAGTTTGGAGGGATATGTTATATTTTTTTTTTTTTTCAACAAGTCGGCCGTCTCCCACCGAGGCAGGGTGACCCAAAAAAGAAAGAAAATCCCCAAAAAGAAAATACTTTCATCATCATTCAACACTTTCACCACACTCACACATTATCACTGTTTTTGTAGAGGTGCTCAGAATACAACAGTTTAGAAGCATATACGTATAAAGATACACAACATATCCCTCCAAACTGCCAATATCCCAAACCCCTCCTTTAAAGTGCAGGCATTGTACTTCCCATTTCCAGGACTCAAGTCCGACTATATGAAAATAACCAGTTTCCCTGAATCCCTTCACTAAATATTACCCTGCTCACACTCCAACAGATCGTCAGGTCCCAAGTATCATTCGTCTCCATTCACTCCTATCTAACACGCTCATGCACGCTTGCTGGAAGTCCAAGCCCCTCGCCCACAAAACCTCCTTTACCCCCTCTTTCCAACCCTTTCGAGGACAACCCCTACCCTCCTTCCTTCCCCTACAGATTTATATGCTTTCCATGTCATTCTACTTTGATCCATTCTCTCTAAATGACCACACCACCTCAACAACCCCTCTTCTGCCCCCTGACTAATGCTTTATTAACTCCACAACCTTCTCCTAATTTCCACACTCCGAATTTTCTGCATAATATTTACACCACACATTGCCCTTAGACAGGACATCTCCACTGCCTCCAACCATCTCCTCGCTGCTGCATTTACCACCCAAGCTTCACATCCATATAAGAGTGTTGGTACTACTATACTTTCATACATTCCCTTCTTTGCCTCCATAGATAACGTTTTTGACTCCACATATACCTCAACGCACCACTCACCTTTTTTCCCTTCATCCATTCTATGATTAACCTCTTCTAAACATATTCTTTAAACTAAACGTTCGTATCGTGCCTCGCAAGAACAGTGATTTGTGGCAAAGGTGAAAGTTGAATGATGATGAAAGTATTTTCTTTTGGATTTCTTTCTTTTGTCACCTGCCTTGGTGAGAGACGGTAGCACTTGTAAAAAAAAAATGTATGATTTTTGCTTTTCAACAAGTCACCGTCACCACTGACGGCAGGTGAAAATCTGAAAAGACTCCGCCTTTCTATTAATATAGAGCTGATTTCAGAAATGATACAAGGAATCAAGAACCTTAGACTAACACTAGAAGAAGATCCAGGGAAGATATGATCATGAATATAAAATATCAGTTTACATAGATTGTGGCAGGGCAACTTCTGAATGAAGGAGGAGAAGAGGGAACAGTGGCAGCCACAGTAAACAGATACCATAGA